GTTGTATTTAGTTAAGATTAACTATGTTCTGCTACTGAGGCAAGTCCCATTTGTGTATTCTTCCCAGGGCCTCATGAATTACAAGGTTTTCCAGTCTAGCTTATGGGAACAGGAACTATTTCTGGCTCTGTGTAGCTTTTGGATACTGTTCTCTCTAATCCTTTGGGGGTGATTCTTTCCTTGGCTTTCGGTAGTTTACTAACACACATACACTGGTCAATATTCTGCTAAATACTTAAGGTCATGGGGAGACCTGCTGAAAATCTCTGAAGTCCTGTCTCTATGCAGCTCTCTCTTCTCCAGTATCCTGTCCTGGAAACTATAGCTCTTCGACCTCCCTGGACTCTTTTTTTAAATTTATTTATTTATTTATTTTGTGTGATTTGAGTGAGAGTTTATAGAGCAAATTCATTTTCCATTCAACAGTTCATGCACATTTTGTTTTATGACACTGATTGCAATCCCCATAATGTAATCACTGTCTTCTCATTTCCTCCCTGTGGTTACCTTTTCCCTGTCTCTTTCTTTCCTATGCATTCCTGCATTCCTGTGCAAATGTTGCCTTTCTGATTCCCATGGTTGATTGTTCCAAGGAGTGTACCTACCTGGTGTAATTGTTCACCTGTAGGCCTGCCTGTCTATTGTTTGGCTAGAAGGCAGGGGAATGAGTTCAATTCCAGGCCCAAAGGATACTAGGGGCTATAGTCTTTTTTTTTTTCAAATGCATTTTATTGAAATATAATTTATGTATAGTGAAATACACAAAACTAAATGACATGGGTCAATGCATTTTTTTTTTTTTTGCAGTGTTCCCTTCCCTCCCCACCCACCCCTGACAACCAACAAAGTTTCCCTCCACATATAAACCTTTTCTTGACCCTTCACAACAATGAACTAATACTATATTTATATTTATAATACTGTATTTGTCCTTCTGTGATTGATTTCACTCAGCATAATGTCCTCCAAGTTCATCCACATTATCCAGTGTTTTTCAGACTCTACATTATTCTTCAGTGCTGCTTAGCATTCCATTATGTATATGTGCCATAGTTTGCACATCCATTCTTCTGCTATAAATCTTAGAGATAAGTCCCTTGCCAGATATGTAATTATTGGCATATATGAATTTGTTGCTGTCATTTTTGTTATGTGCTTTTTCGTGCTGTTGATATCTTTGTTCCATATAATTTTCTATGCTGAACTCATTTTGTTTATGAATTGTGTTATCACTTCCTTCATGGCTATTGTTTTCATATTTGCTGAATATTTATGCTGGTCCTCTTTTTTTATGTGAAGGTTTATAATTTTTCTTTGAGGTTACAACTAGGGGCCATAGTCTTGAGGGTTTCACCAGTCTCTATCAGACCAGTAAGCCTAGTCATTTTTATGATTGAGTTTTGTTCCATATTTTTCTTCCACTTTATCACAGATCTTGTATTATGATCCCTTTCTCAGTGGTTGGGATGGTAGCTGGGCACCACCTAGTTCTTCTGGTCTCAGGGTTGTGTGGGTTGAGGTTCTCATCATCTGTTAGTCCATTGGACTAATTATTTCCATGTGTCTTTGATTTTCTTTTTTAGGTATTTCTTAGATTCCCACTTGAAAGCTTTTGGTACCCCAGTCACTACTGACCAAAGTAGGATGTAGAACAATATTTTTGTGTGGTATGTTATGCCAATTGAGCTTGATGTCCCCCATGGTCATGGTCTTGAGCTCACAGGCCCAGCAACTTATTCCCTCAAGGTATTTGGCTGTGGCTAAGAAGTTCATAACTTTGCCCCCCTGCCCCCCATTAGCTCTATTATATATATGGAGTTTCTTTTTTTTTTTTTTTTTTTAATGATTTGGGTGAAAGTTTACAGAGCAAATTCGTTTTCCATACAGTAGTTCCTATGCATTTTGTTTCATGACATTGACTACAGTTCCCTACAATGTAACAGCTCTCTTTCCACTTCGTCCTTTAGTTACATCTTCCCTATGTCCTTCCCTCCCATGCAGTCCTGCCCCCCAGGCTGTCTTATATATGTTGTTGTTGTTGTTGTGTGCCATTGAGTCAGACCTGACTCATAGCGACCCCTCCTTGGGTTTCCGAGGCAGTATCACTACGGAAGTAGATTGCCCCATCTTCCTTCTTATATAGAGAGATTCTTACAGCACATACGAATATACATATAGAATTATCATCTGCCAAACTTATACATGGTCATGGGTATATTCCCTTTTGCCTACCCATAGCTGATCATTCTGCCTATCTATGTACCCACCCATAGATTAATGTTTGTTATTACTGATAATGCAATATTGTGTATGTAAAAGTGTTTACCTTTCTCATCTGTACCTCTTATGCACCTCTCCACGTCTTCCTTTTCCTTAGTGTTATGTACTGGTCACTTGCTGTTGGTATATTTCCTTTCCCTTCACCCTCCACAAGTAAATCAATACTTGTCTTTTACCTATCTAGCAATTTTCCTTTCTCTCCCCTCCCATCCCTGGTAACCAAGAAAGAAATTTCCTTCCATGTGTAAAACTTTTACCTTGGCTTTTTACAATCATGGATTAATGCAGTATTTCTCCTCTGTGATTGATTTATTTCACTCAGCATAATGTCCTCCAAGTTTATCCACATTATGAGGTGTTTTGTGGATTCTTTGTTATTCTTTAGTGTTGCATAGCATTCTATTGTGTGTATGTACCATAGTGTGGTTATCCATTCATCTGTTGATAGGCACTTTATCTCTTTGGTATTATGAATAGTGCTGCAGTGAACATGGGTGTGCATATATTTATTCCTATCCTGAATCTCACTTCTGTAGGATATATACCTAGTTGTAGAATTGCTAGATCAAATGGTATTTCTGTTTCCTACTTTTTTAGAAAGCATCATATCATTGTCCACAGTGGTTGTATCACTTAATCATCCTACCAGTGGTGTATGAGAGTCCCAGTCCCTCTAAATTCTTGCCAGCATTTGTTGTTTTTTGTCACATTGAACTTTGCTATTATTGCTGGGGTGACTCCCCGGACACTTAACTCCATCTCTTCAAGTCAGGAAGTTGGCCAGGTACTGCTGGGGCTCTCTCTCCTTAAGCCACAGCTGAGAACTCTCTCAAGGCAGTAAGCTGAGGCAATTATAGGGCTTACCTCATTTGGTTTCTCTTTCTCAGGGATTACTGTCTAGTGGTGTCTTTGTTGCCCGATGTCTAGTGTCCTGAAACTCTTATTTCATATATTCTGTGTATTTTTTTGGTTGCGTCAGTAGGGAGGCTATCTGCTCCCTGCTACTCCCTCCATCTTGGTCAGAAGCAGAGTTCCCAGAGGATGTTTTTGAATCATTGAATGAATTTATACATTTCTGTGGGGATACTTGAGACCTCATAAAAATGTACATAATAACGTACATTATAATGTATATAATAATTATAATATACATTATAAACCAGTTGATCATTCACTTTCTGGTGACATGCTGTTGGCATGGCAGATCTCATTACATAGGTGGTTATTCTCCAGCTAGATGGTAAGCTTGCCTGAGGGCAGGCACTGAGGTGGTCTGAGGACGGGCTGTCCTGGGCTCATTTATTTCCCCTGGTCAGTACATGGTATAGAGTCTGACAGCTGGTGTTGTGTTGATGAGAGCTGGAGGGCAGAAGTCATTGCTCCAAAGATTAATAGAGATTGCTAAATGGACGTGCAGGACAGCTTGGCAGTCTTCCCTTGTCTCTCAGCTAGCATTAGTCCGTTAGTCTTGTCTCTTGGATAGCATTTTGCCAGGATGCACCTTGTGGCTCCAAAGTGGGAGGAAAGGCCTCTTCTTTCTCTTGCTGCTGCTCCTGTACTTCTGAGCACATCTTCTCATACTCCTAAAGGCAGTAGCCCGAGGGCAACAGGCAGGCTAGCAGAGTCCAACTGTCAGAGGAGGCCTCAGTAGGAGCTGCTGTGTGGTCTCAACCTGTTCCTCAGACAGTACAGCCCAGCATTCCCAGCGGTACCATGGCAGGGAAGTTAAGCCTATTCTGCACAGCCAGAAGACTTCGCTCCTAGACCTGGTTCTGCTGCTTGTAAGCTGTGTGCCATTGGCATTTTGCTGAACTTCTCTGTGCCTCAACTTGGCCCTCTGTTAATTGAGGATGGCAACCCTTGTCCTGTTCATCTTACACAGCTGTTAAAATATGTGCAAAAGATGTTTTGCCACAGTAGAATCTTCCATAAAGCCATTATTATCCTGGTGGTATATATATATTTGTTTTTACATTGTGATTTGGGTGAAAATTTACAGAGCAAATTCACTTTCCATACAGCAGTTCACATACACTTGGTCTCATGATATTGACTACAATTTACCACAATGCAACAGCTCCCCTCCCACTTCCTCCCCATAGTTACCTCTTCCCTGTGTCCTTCCCTCCATGCACTCCTGCCCCCTGAGCTGTCTCCCTGTGCATAAGCAGCCCTTCTTTCTCCCATGATTGTTCTCTCCAAGGAGTGTATCTACCTCAGGTAAATGTTCACCTCATATGCCTGTCTTTTGCTTGGCTGGAAGCCACAGGCATGGGTTAAATTCCAGACCTGAAGGGCAGCTCTTATGCACCTCTCTGCCATAGTCTCAGTGGTTCCACCAGGCTCTATCAGACCAGCAAACCTGGTCCTCCTGGGGGTATTCTTATCAAACAAAAGAAAATATTAAAATATCTACATCATATTTTCCTAGCTTGATGTCTGTACTGTGGAATATTTTTGGATATAATCTAGATGACAGGTGTAGGTTTTTATCCACTTACTTATTTGGCACTCATTGATCTAGGACCCCTTGTGATCACCTTCTTCATCACCTGGAGAATGGTGGGTGGCTCTTGTCTCTTGGATAACTTAATAGAAAGGATAACTTTTTTTCCTCTGTAGGGGAACATTTCATATTTGAGGAGAACTGTAACCATTTGAGGTTCATTTATTTTGAAGTCAGATATGTTTGTGACCATGCTGGCATGTTTTGTTTACAGAGGAGAGTGGTCACGTGTGGCCTGAGGAGCAGCCTGTTCATTCTCTCGAGGCAGGGGCTATGTACCTGAGTGAGGAGGAGCCCCCGCATGGCCCGATGGGCCAGGAGATGTTAGCTGAAGAGGCTGATGCAGTGCTGGGACTGGACAGTGATGGCGATCACATGGTGATGTTGTCTGTGATTCCTGGGGAAGCTGAGGATAAACTGAGCTCAGAGCCCAGTGATCGTACCTGTGGGGCTGGAGGTGCAGAAGACTCAAGGTGCAGTCTCAGAGAGAGCCTCTTTTCTCTGGATAGTGCTGGAACAAACTTCCCAGATAGAGAGGAGGAGTATTACACAGAGCCAGAAGCGGCAGAGTCTGATCATGCTCCAACAGAGGAGGCCAATAACACTGAAAGTCAGAAATCCCCAAAGGTGAATTGTGAGGAGAGAAATGTGACGGAATTCGAAAATTTTACCTTGAAAATATTAAATATGTCACAGGTAAGCAAATGCATTATTTAGTGCTTCTCTCCTTCTCAGCATGTACTTTTTTTTTTTCTTTTAAAATTTTTATTGTGATTTGGGTGAAAGTTTACAGAGCATATTCATTCTCCATACAGCAGTTCATACATATTTTGTTTCATGACATTGACTGCAGTTCCCCACAGTGTAAGTGCTCTCTTCCCACTTCTTCTCCATAGTTACCTCTTCCCTGTGTCCTTCCCTCCCATGCATTGCTGCCCCCCCCCAGCTCTCTCCCTGTGCAAACACCACCCTTCTGTTCTCCCACAATTGATCCCTTCAAGAAGTGTATCTTCCTGATTTAATGTTCACCACATATGCCTCTCTGTTGTTTGACTGGAAGCCACAGGAGTGAGCTCAGTTCCCGACCTGAAGAGTAATGAAGGGCCATAGTCTCAGGGGTCTCACTAGGCTCAATCAGACCAGCAAACCTGGTCTTTTTTTTTTTTTTTTTTTAATGATTTTGAGTTTTGTTCCACATTGTTCTTCCACTCTGTCCAGAATCTCCTGCACCAATCCCCCTCTGAGTGGTTGACAGTGGTAGCCAGGCACCATCTAGTTCTTTTGGTCTCATGGTCATATAGGCTGAGGTTTGTGTGGTCCACTAGTCTGTTGGACTAATTGTTTCCATGTGTCTTTGATTTTTCTTCATTCTTCTTTGCTCTGGAAGAGGAGAGACCCATTGTTGCATCTAGATGGCTGCTTGCAAGCTCTTAAGACCCCAGTCACTACTCACCAAAGCAGGATGTAGAAGAGTGTTTTTGTGTAGTATGTTATGCCAATTGAGCTTGATGTCCCCTGCGACCATGGTTCTGAACCCACAGCTCCAACTAGTTGCTCCCTCAGGGTAGCTGGCTATGGCCAAGAAGTCACCAAAACTTTGTCCCTTGTCAGCTCTACTATACACCTAGACATTCTTACAGCACATACAAATATGCATGTAGAAACATCATCTGCCATACCTGTACATGTTCATGGGCACACTCCCCTCGCCTAGACATACCTGATCATTCATCCTGTCTACCCATCTATCCACCCGTAGATCAATGCTTGCCATCACAGACAATGCAGTACTGTACATGCAAAAGGGTTCATCTTTGTTTTCTGTACCTCCCATGTACTTCTCTGTCTTCCTTTTCCTCAGTGCCACTGTGTTGATCACTCAACTTTTGGTACATTGCCCTTCCCTTTACCCAAATCAATTCTAGTCTCTACCTATCTAGCAGTGTTCCCTCCTCTCCTCCTATCCCTAGTAACCAACAAAGTTACCGTCCATATATAAACCTTTCATTTACTTTTTACAGTAGTGAACTAATACAGTATTTGTCCTTCTCTGACTGACTTATTTCACTCAGCGTAATGTCCTCAAAGTTCACCCACGTTATTCAGCATATACGTTTATGATTTAATTCTCTGTCAGCTTTCAAACAATCTTTACATACTGTAAGTGGAGTAGCATGTAATGGCTACATCAGTGAAAATTGCCTTCGCTTTCCATGATGTTTATTGGGAAAGGAGGAAAGCAGTTATGCTTTTAAATCCTCATGGACAGAGGTGCTTAGTGTCAGAATAGCAGCATTTTTCTTCTTCAAAATGAAATATTTATTACAGAAGCAACTTTAAGATATTTGAATTACTAAAATTATAATTTAGAGCCCATGGGATATAAAATATACCGATGAAAAGTTTCTGTCTCCTCCAAAAAGTGTGAATTCTATGTTTACTCTGGAGTGAGAGCTGAGACAATTGTTCCAAACCCACTCATGCTTTTCCAGATACCTGGATGAATTGTGGTTCTAAAGGGAGTGCTGGGATGATGGGAAGTTTCTTTAGGATTGTTAAGAAGCCAGAAGAGGAGGATGAATTCCAGGCTGCTAAGAGAAGTAAAAGGTGCTCTCGTAGCGTAGTGTCTAAGGCACTTGACTGCAAACCAGAAGGCTGGCAGTTCAAACACACCAGCCACTCTGTGGAAGGAAGATGGAGCTATCTACTTCCATAAAGATTCACTGCCTCAGAAACCCAAAGGGGGTCACCATGTATAGGAATCGACTCGATGGCAGTGAGTTTGGTTTGGTTTTTGGAAGAAGAGTAAAACTCTAGCTCAGAAAGCTGTGTTTGTTTATTTTAAGTGAAGGTGTAGTATGTTTTGTGCTCATAGCCGCCCTTCAAGTGCTGGATCAATGCTGGCCTCACACCCTCTCCCCAGTGCCTGGTAGACACTATGCCTCAGCTCTGCAGGACTGTTTAACTGGTGTCACCCATAGCGACCTGGTAAGAGCAGTTTGTTGTTGTTGTTATGTGCCGTCGAGTCAGACCCGACTCATAGCGACCCCTCCTTGGGTTTCTGAGGCAGTATCACTACGGAAGTAGATTGCCCCATTCCCTGTCACCACCCTAATTTGACTGTGTAAGAGCAGTTTACACAGTCAAATTAGGGTGGTGGCAGGGAAGATTCACCAATATATTTGGCCAAATATATTGATCCAGCTGCTTAGTACAGACTCCAGTCTGCTGAGATGATAGTTTGAGTCTGAGATCATAGTGCTTCAATAATGCCATTAGATTGAGTTAGACACACCAGTCAAAGGCCAGAGCAGTGGTCTTGTGAGTTGTAATATTTAAATTATTGCATTATGAAAAATAATAAAGTAGCTCTATAGTCATATTAGGAAAGCTTAGAGAGGAAGGATTATAACTTGTCATTTGATAGTACTTTTCTGCTGATTCATGGATTCATGTGGTTCAAAATCCAAAAAGTCCTAAAGTGTTTACAGTAGTACAGTCTCCCTCCTCTCCCTGTCCTCACCCACCAGTTCCTCTCCCTGGAGGCTATAGTAGTATTCCTGGGTATCCTGGAAAAATGTGAACATATGTTTATTACCAACTTTAACATCTGTTTCTTTCATCACAGGACCTTATGGATTTTTTAAACCCAAATGGTAGTGACTGCACGCTGGTCCTGTTTTATACTCCATGGTGCCGATTTTCTGCCAGTTTGGCCCCTCATTTTAATTCTTTGCCCCGGGCATTTCCAGCTCTTCATTTTCTGGCATTGGATGCATCTCAGCATAGCAGGTATCTTCCCTTAATGGAGTTTACATCTCATCTGTTTGGATGGTAGTTGTGTGGAGGTCAGAACTAGTTAAGTTAGAAGCAGGGGTGGTGGGTGTGAGCTTCAAACCTGGACTGAAGGAGAGGAGAGGCAAGGGCAAGTGAGGGTGGTCAAACTCCTGAGGGAAAATGTCATTTTCTGGAGGCCTTTGAAAGAAAGCGGACTATTCTCTGCATGTTGTTGTTGTTGTTGTTGTTATGTGCCGTCGAGTCGGCCCCGACTCATAGCGACCCCTCCTTGGGTTTTCGAGGCAGTATCACTACGGAAGTAGGATTGCCCAACCTTCCTTCCGAGGAGTGGCTGGTGGGTTTGAACCGCCAGCCGTCTGGTTAGCAGGCAAGTGACTTAGCCACTATGCTACCAGAGCTTTAAAGGTAGCGCTGCCTGATTGCTAGGGAGACAACAGAGGCCTTTCTTAGCACAATTAGTGTCACACATCCAACATTCCTTTGTGACTTAACCTGCAATTTAGGTCCCAAGTTAGTACCCCTGGCATCCCATCTTCCTTCCATTCCCTGTTCTATGTCTACTTAGGATTTCTTTTTTTCTCTTCTCTTTCTTTTTCTTTCCTTCTTGTCCCCTTTTCCTTGTTTCTTTCCTCTTGCTTACATTTATTTTTGTACGCATTTCCCATAGCGGACACTGAAATTAATTTAATGAATTAATTTAGCCCTACAAAAAATGACATTTTACCCTTGTCTTATATTTCTTTTGTATTCAGTGAGCTGTTGTCTTTTTTTAAGTGTCAGTAAAATAGATTACAGAGAGCTTTGCTCAGATGTTACAGATTTCACCTGGCAAGAGCTGTGATGGGTCCTGGGCTACCAGCTGTGTGTTTCCTTCCTCCTCTGATTGAGGAATGCTCCTTAGCAGGTCACAAGGAAGTTGTGTGTGAATAAACTTGAAATGTCTGGAAGATGGTCAAATTGGTGGTAAAACATTTTGAAAATAAGAAGTTGCAGTTGAGTAAAAGTTTATTCATACTTCACTGATTTTTAGTGTAGGAGATGTTAATGCCAAAATTTACCTCAAACTATTTATGAAGAAATAAATTGCCTGACAAATTCATAATTCTCACAAGGGCTTCAGGGAAATGTCTAAGCTGGCTGTGGGAATAGACTGATTGGAAGGACAGTTGAGGTCAGATGTCCAGCTTTGCCTGGGCCCCCCATTGTTTCTGAGCCAGCTGACTCCTACATCTGCTTGGTTCTCTCTGGAGTCTTTGGTACAGTATCCAGCACTGCTCCTCTTGCCCCTACTGGATTTTTTGATCTGCCCTGTTCCTTCTTTCCTTCATCTCCATATATTTTTCTTAGTGCCTGGTATACCAAAAACCAAACTCAGTGCCATCGAGTCATTTTTTCCGACTCATAATGATTGCTCCTTGGGTTTCCAAGGTGGTATCTCTATGGAAATAGATTGCCCAACCTTCCTTTCAAGGAGTGGCTGGTGGGTTTGAACCCCCAG